GCTTCGGAGGCACCGAGCATCTCCCTGCGCCGGTACCCGTGCTCACCTGCTGCTCCGTTATGGCTTTCGCTGCGACGCCGGCTGCGGCTGCAGAACAGACCCGCATCACCTGGGATTTCAAGGACTCCAGCTATGGCAGAGATCAACGCAGGAAAACAAAAATCACAGAGAATCCAAATCAGCTCTGCTGGTCTGCTCTACCCTGCCACCTCTGACACCGAGGCCCCCTGCATGCTCCTGCCCTCCCCTCGGGACATCGCTTTGGCCCACGCAGTTTTTCACCATGCAACTTCACAAGGGTTCCCCCGACACCCCCTCCTCGGACCCTGAGGGCTCGCACCGCGCCGGCAGCGAGGCGCTGTGGTTAATTGCACCCCTTACTTTGCCTGCAAGGTGCCCGGCGTGATCACCAGCACCACGCGCCAGGGAGGCCGTTGGCTCCCCACCACCCAGATCAACGCGACTTCTGAACATCTCCCACTGCTGCTGCGGGAGGATGACGATGGCAGAGGGCTGGCATAGGTGGCAAGGACAGACCTCCTGAGCCAGGCGGCTGCTCCCTCCCACGCCCCAGCAGGGATTGCCGATGGCTGGCTCCTATTTCCTCCTGCGAAACCATCAGGGGCAGGCTGGGGACAGCTGGGGATGCCACCCCCGGCATCTCCACAGACAACTACAACTGTTCCCACCCAGGCGACTGCTTCACCCCTCTATCGCAGCTGGTGCTGGCTCCTCCTGGGGCTTCCATGAACGGCTGTCCCTGTCCTACACGGCAGACCCAAAAGCCTCCATCTGCCTTTAGCAGCTCAAGGCTGCCCTTTGGCTCCGCTCTGCGCAAAACCCAGGGTTATCTTCCAAACACAGGATCCAACAAACCGGAGCTTTTCCTGCCTCTCATCGACTGGGGTTCCTAACACATTCACGGTGGCAAAACTGCGTTGCGGTTTAACGGCGGGGGTACGACCTTCACCTGCGAAGCACGGCTTCATCCCGCTGATCTAGCATGATGTTCTTCTGCAAAGGGCTGTCTCTGCCCAGAGCAGCGTTACCTGGGCTCGGAGGAGGGTTTGCACGGGTCCCGGACAGCGTAACTACATTTGCAGAGAGCACAGTGCAGTTCTGCGTGCTATCAAACTCACTGCACCTTCTACAATGCCTACACAAATCCTGTGGGTAAGCCTGTTACGCTGCACCCGACGTCAACTTAAGCCCCGTGCCAGGGTTTGGTGCTCAGGACTCTGCAATCCCTTTCCTGCACTCAAGCACAAATGGCTTTCCTGCTGGGAAAACCCAGACTTCTGCTGCCGATGGCCCAGACCACGGGATGCTCCCATCCCTGCCTCCCTCCCTACCTGCTCCTTGGCTCGCCCCAGGCCGGCTCTCAGCAGGCGCTCCCTGCGCCCCATCTCCTGCAGCTGCAGAGCTTGCCTGGCGCTGGCTGCCTTCAGCTCCCCCTCGGCCTGCAAACGAGGGGAGAGCATTTGCATATCAAAGCAATCCCAGGAAATCGCGTCCATAAGCACTTTTACCCCAACTCACGTTACTCACATCCGATGGCTCCAAATATAGCTCTGAGCTAGCAGGAGGCAGGAAGCAGCACTCTTGCAGGGGGTGGGTTTGCAGCACCCGACACCGCACGCTGCTGTTTGCCTGGGTTTGGTGCCAGGGCCATCGCCCGTCCTTGCCTTTCTAACCCACCGCTGGCACAGGGCAGCCTCTGCCCCGCACGGTACCTTCTTCCCTCGGGGTCCGCGCAAGAGCTCAGCACATTTGGCCGCAGCCCGGGGCTTGCTGGCCCTCGTCCCACGTGTCTGGCGGCTGTGCCCGTCCCCCCCTGCCCTCTGCCGCATCCCCACAGCCCGAGGGTTACCTTGGCTTTCTCGGCCAGCTGCTTTCGGACGCTGTCCCGCTCGGCACAATACTTCTGGGCTTCCCCCCGCAGCCCCTCCAGGTCGCGTTCCAGCTCCCCGATGCGCTGCAAGAGGCCCGAGACAGCGCAGGGTCTCACCAGAGGAGCCGGGCATCACATCTCGGGAGGATTTTAACCCATAGGCAGTACATTTTCCCCACCTCTCCCTTTCCAATTCTCCTCTAACCTCTGTTTGCTGCGGTTACATTGGCTTTCAAGCGCAGCGTCAATCTTCTCACCAGCACCACTCTCCTGCACTGCACTGCTCTGTTACCGTTTTTACAGGGGTTTACATTTCTCCAGTTCCCTATGCACGCGTGGTGCCTTCTATCAGAGGAGCCGGATTCCACGCGACTCCCTTAGGATGCCCTGCTAATCGCTCTCCCGATGGTGCATTCCCGCAGTCGCTGCTCCCCCGCGTGCACCATCACCCCACCTGACTCGCCACTCACGTTTCGGCACACGATTACTTCTCGCTCTCCAAGTTCACGCTTCGTTTCCTCTTTAATTCTGGAGCACTAGAAGGAATGGCAACCAAGGGAGGGGGGGAAAAAAGTCATCAGGTGTCCTGGTTTCGGCTGGGATAGAGTTAATTTTCTTCCTAGTAGCTAGCATAGTGCTGTGTTTTGGATTTAGCACTAGAAGAATGTTGATAACACACTGATGTTTTCAGTTGTTGCCAAGTAGTGCTCAGACTATTCAAGGACTTTTTGAGCTTCTCCTGCTCGGCCAGGTGCATAACAAGCTGGGAGGGAGCACAGCCAGGCCAGCTGACCCCAACTGACCAAAGAGCTATTCCATACCATAGAACGTCATGCTCGGGGGGGTTAGTCGGTCTGTCGGTCGCGGGCAGAGTGATTGCAGCTCAGGCAGAGTGATCATGGCTTGGGGGGAGTGATCGCGGCTTGGGACGGGCTGGGCATCGGCCTATCCCACTGAGGGAGGGGGGGAGTGAGTGAGCGGCTGCGTGGTGCTGAGTTGCCAGCTGGGTTAAACCACGACGTCAGGGCAGGCAGATACCGTCCCGTCCACAGCCAGCGTCAGCACATACTGCAGCGCTAGCGCCCAGCCGAGTGCTCAGATACCCCATGGCCGGCGGAGCGCCCGTGACGGGGCCATCAAGGCACTGAGAGCACGAGCGTATCCACACCTGGAAATGCCCAGATTAACACATTTGCCTGGCTGAGCAAAGGACAAACATCTGCAAGGGAGCACCAGACAAAGAAATTCCTCTGGCCTTAGAAAGAGCACAACAGGGAGGGGGGGAAAGGACCAAAGGCAACAAATGCCTCATAAAAACACCCACGGTTACCTGACCAGAGTGGCAACCAACATTTCCAGGCTACTTCTTGCTGTATTGGACTGCGCCTTCCAGCTCTGCATTTCAGGGTATCGGTGTTTCAGACACCGGCCCCATTCTGCCTGCCCCGAGCGCCTGGGGGGCCTCTTCCGCCAGCCTGCAGCACCAGCTCCTGTCTTCCCGCATCCATGGAGCAGGGAAAAGAGCAGCAGGATGGCTCTGGGTCGTGCTCTCTGCCTCAACACGAGTGCTGGGGGCCACTGAGTGCCACCAGGCACCCAGCAGGATGCCACCCCGGGACGCCTGGTCCCCCTGCTGCACATGGCGCCGCGAGCATTTGTGTGCATCTCCCCTTTCCAGCAGTTTAAGGGCTGATTCACGTCATTCGTCTCCAGAAAGCTGCTCGGGGAAGATGCTCAGCCTGGTACAGGCTGGCAGGTGAGGTGACCTCTGTCTGCCTGCCTGCACCCCAGGGACCCCACCTATCTTTTTTCAGTACTTAAAATTCACAGCAATTCCCTCAAATCTCCTGGCACAGTACCCAGTCAGCCAGGCAACGTGCAGCGCCTGCTCTGTGCTTGTTACGCAGACGATGCAGCTCCGCCGGCTGTGGAGGGAGCGGCCAACACAGGGGAAACAACCCCGCCGCACAGGCCGCTTGCTTCACAGAAAAAACCAGGCTGGCCTACAGGGAGCCACGCGCAGACGGGGTTTCCATGGCTCCTTGGGAGGATTCTTGGCACAGGCGCTTTGCACGTACAAACAGCTACTGTGCCCACGGGAATCCAGGGCGCACGGTGCCCGAATGCAGAAGAAGGAGGGGGATTCAGCTGAGGAAGGCGGCACCGCGCCAGCCCCGTGGGACAGCCCTGCAGCTTCTGTTTGCGTGCACAGCCAGGGCACTGCGGTTACAACCGCCCTGAGAAGTGGCCATGCCAACGTCGCTGCCACGCTCCTCGCCCGAGAGCAGCAGGACCCTTCCCACCCCAAT